GAAATCTAGGGTCCCTGAATTGCGATTTCATGCATTTTGGGGATGAAATCTAGCAGAATTCCGAAGATTATGAAGTACATCGAAGACATTAATTTTTCCAGACATTTCTACTCGGAATTAAATAAATTGGAAAAGTCACCTTGAAAAATAGGAGGAGGGGTCAGTGTCACCTTATTTCCTCTCTGTGATGCTGGGGGGGGGGGATCCCAATGTGATTTTGATCAGAAAGGTTGCATTTAAATCATTCTAGGTTCTATCGGAGACACCATTTCCTCATTCTCAAAATTGCGTTGCATTTTCATACAATACAGAATAAGTCTGAGAAGAAATATTCATGCTATGATGATGCACACATGTATTTAACAGTTACAAATCTAAACTAAATCAATAATATTCTTCTTGGAACCATATCTACAACTGCTTTAACAAGATTTCACAAATCAAGTTCCTCCAGTATATCGTCTTTTTCCTCAGTCGAGACGCACTTAATCAGTTTCAGCTTCGAGCATGTAACGTGTAACCCCCCCCCCCCTCCCAATTTCTCTGCGGATTTAGCCTTTCTGAGAGAATGGTTTTTGTGGCGATTGGGGGGAGGGGCTCTTAATTTTACTTGATATTTTTAAGAATTTGTTTTGCAATAAAACCTCCCAAAACAAAACACAGCGCCTCTGCGGAGGAGAGTGCTAGGAAATAGTCGCAAGGCTTGGAAAGGCTAGCATTTTATCGGATTGTTTGCATGAAATCTATTGCTATTATTAAATACTCGGTGAAGAACAATATGAATTACACACAAGATGGCTGTGGAGGAGGCTATGGAAGGGCATAATCTATAATAATAATAATAATAATTACATTTATCCAGGATACCACATCACTTACGTGTTTTTCAGTGGGGTCCTGCATCAGAATTGCAATTATTTACAATATTAATTATTGTCAGCATTTAAATTGTACAAAAATATACAAATATATACATGCACGTTACAACGATGATAAATAGACCATTAATTTATAATTCATTAAAATGTAATTTAATTTAGTCAGCAAGCATGCAACGTGCCTCAAATGGTAGGAAAGAATCAATCGATTCAGAAGTCAGAAGTTAAGATAAAAATGCTCAAAATTAAATTAAGCGTAGAGACACGGTGCATACCCCAACTAAACTGTACATATATATTTAAAATATATCAAGCATGCAATAACTGTGTCTAAGTACGAAGTAGATTTAATTGAGTCTTAAATTGAGAGAGAGAGAACTAACATTTGCAACTGAGCTGTTCAAATTTTTGAAGTCCTTCGAAGCGTAGTAAGTCGGTCTAAGTTTACCCCAGTTCATGTTGGCTTTTGGAAGATGAAGGTTGTTGCAGGATCTTGTGTTGTAGGAATGAATACGGGGCTTCGGTCGCTGAAGAGAAAGGAGGAAAATCTAGAATCAATTTAGCGGCTTTATTTTCCAAAGTCTGTAAACCGTTCATGTGTCCAGTGTTGTTCTTGTCACCCCAAATAATGTCTACATAGTCAAATAACGGTAGAATTGTAGCTGTATAGAAAATTAATCTTGCATTTAATGGTAGTAATGATTTGACTCAGCGTAATATTCCAAGTCTTTGATTGATCTTGCTCATCAAGTTCTCGATATATTCATTCCAGGAGAGATTTTCACTGATCGTGATACCCAGGTATTCCAATGCGTGCTCTTGATTAATCTTTCGATCGTAGATAGTAATGTTGAGGTTAGAAATTGTTTTTAAACGTTGTCTACCAGCAAAGATTATAAATTTCGTTTTGTCATGTTTGATTGTTAGGTGGTTGTGGTTCAGATAAGTGGAGAGGGATTGAAGTTCGGAGTTGAGTTTTGACTGAAGTTCTGAGATATTGTCTGCAGAATAGTAAAGAAGTGTATCATCAGCATAGAGTATCGACTTGCAGTGTTTGAGGCATTGAGGTAGGTCATTAATATAAATTAGGAAGAGAAGAGGTCCGAGAATACTTCTTTGCGGAACACCAACAGTAACTGGTTTAGGCGTAGACATTGAATTGTTGATGGTTGTTACTTGAGTGCGATTCGATAGATATGATGTAAACCAAACAAGAACAGAGGTAGAGAATCCAATCGATTTTAATTTTTCCTGCAAGATTGTGTGATCTACTGTGTCGAATGCTTTTCGTAGGTCAATGGAAACGGCGCCCGTAATCTTTTTGTTGTCGAGGTTAACGAGTACTTGTTCAGTAAAGTGAGCCAGGGCAACAGTGGTGGAGAGTTTGGAGCGAAAACCGAATTGTTCAGAAGCCAATAACTAATGCTATTGTAGATAATTGTAAATTTGACAGTGGACTATACGTTCTAATAATTTGCTCAAAGTTGGTAGAATGGTGATTGGTCTATAGTTGTTCGATGACGTTGGATCGCCAGTTTTGTAAATGGGGGTAACTTTACCTTTCTTCCAGATATCGGGGAATGAAGCACAGCGTAGCGAGAGATTAAAGATCTTTGTGAGAGTTGGTGCAACAACGCAAACGGAGTCTTTAAGCAGTTTAGCACTAATCCCATCTAGGCCAGTGGCCTTGTTAGTTTTTAATTTGCTCAGTTCCTGAAACAAAAATAAATCGTCGACTTCTTCGAACTTGAATGAATGGGGAACGGTAGTGGTAGACGCACGTAACTTTGGTTTGAATTGATCTTTAATTTTATTCGCAAGTTTAGACCCTATGGACGTGAAATAGTCGTTCATGATTGTTGCTA